CGTCCGGCAGACTCACCACGGCCACCGTGAACTCCCCTCCTTGTGGATGTCTGCGGTGCTGAACTCTGTGTCGCTGAAGTTCTCACAGACGTCGAAGGGAAGCTCTCCGTGCTCCTCAGAGTTCACGATGCCTTCTTCAGCTCCCAGACAGGTGATGATGCCCTGAAAGACACAACCAGAACAAAACGTCAAGGGTTGGCCGGAGGCGCCGCTGTCTGAAGGGTTGGCAGGGGGGCGCCGCTGTCTGAAGGGTTGGCAGGGGGGCGCTGCTGTCTGAATTGTTGGCAGGGGGGTGCTGCTGTCTGAAGGGACAAAACGTAAAGGGTTGGCAGGGGGGCCGCTGTCTGAAGGGTTGGCAGGGGGGCGCTGCTGTCTGAATTGTTGGCAGGGGGGTGCTGCTGTCTGAAGGGACAAAACGTAAAGGGTTGGCAGGGGGCGCCGCTGTCTGAAGGGTTGGCAGGGGGGTGCTGCTGTCTGAAGGGACGGAGCCGTGTTTGTATTACACCTCTTTTAGGGCCCTTTCACAGCTGAAGGTCTGCACCAAGGTCTAAAACAAAGTTCATTTTTTAATACATTTGGTTAGTTTTGGTTTGGTTTCACTTTGCAGTTCTGCGAGTGCACTAAAGAAATCATTTCTGTGGGCTGCTTCTCGTATACTTGACACTGACTGTTTAGTAAACGGACATGCGCATGAAGTCAGTATTTGACAAGAATGAATGAACAGATGAATATCGTTGCCACCATAGTGTTATTATGGCATTACTACCTGCAGCACCAGCTGTACTCGATTTGATAATCAGTTCCAGACCAGCCTTGGCTCAGGAACGCCTGTTTTGCTTAATGCCACGCTGATTAAAACCTGCCTCATCTGTGTATCGCCTGACACCGTCACAAGTTTTGGGATCATTTCAAGCCAACAGGAAACAGCAGCTCTGTACAGTGAGTAGGGCTGAAACGATTCATTGATTAAATCGATTACTTTAATCCATATAGCGCACAGTTTCGCATTGACATTTATTACTGTTGCACATCGCTGTGTGAACACGACGGGAATTTGATGCAGCTGTTACAAAGTGGAGGAAGAGAGAGAAAATAGTCAGGGACAAAGAAGAAAGCGTCCAAAGTCTGGGATTATTTCAAGCTAAATAAACAAACAACAACTCTGCAAAGTTACAGTCCGTCCACCGTAAAATTAAACTTATGTGGCCTTCCACAACAGCATGAAGGCACCTGATCAGAAAGTAGCCAGTGTTCTGCCAGCGGACCTGTTTCAAGGTAACAGTAACTTTAGCATTTAACTGAAATCATGATTGATTGTTGAGTTGAAGCCAAAAGACGCCGCGATCCTCAGCTGAAAATGTGCACATTTGCGTTTGTTGTTCTCCTGGTTGGACCGTGAGTTTGGGTTGTAACGTCACAGTCAGGAGTTAACTGGGTGTCGGGGAGCTGCACCTCAGTATAACTTGTAGAGCACTCGGGTGATGTTTGTGTTGGTAAAGCAGTTGTGTGTTGTTGGTCTAATGTTTGGTGTATGATACACTATGAATTTCTGAAAGGACTAATAAATCTATCATCTATCAACGTCACAGCTGATCCCGTTACCGGGGTGGGGGTTCGCTCTTCAGTGTCTCACTTCCTGTTGGATAATAAAGTTAAATCGATCAGAATAAGGTCCACTATATGCAAGATGCAGACGTGAGGTTACCAGCTCTCTCTTCTCTTTGGTGTAGCTGAAGGTGAACGGGATTTGGGCTTGATGTTGGCAGCTCTCCTCTTTCTGGTCACCATGTCGACCAGCAGGTTGATCAACACGTGGTCATTCTTCAGGAGCGTGACGCCACAGTCCCGGTGGTCGAAGGTCACGTTGGTCCGGACGGGGCCGATGTTGGCGTGGATCTGACCCGGGTAACCCTGCATGGTGGGCTACAAAGAGAGCGGTGTCAGGGCGCAGAACGCCGTGTTGGACGCCACAAACTGAAGGATCGGCTGCAGGCGAGGTTCATTCAGCAACAACAACAATAATAATAATAATAAAACAATAGCCTCATTCAGCACGAGCATCTGTTCATACGACTTCTGGAGAATTTCCCATCAGTGGAACCAAGTACGTTTACTCAAGCGCAGTACTTCAGGTACTTGTACTTTACTTGAGTATTTTCTTTCGTGCCACTTTACACTTTCTGCTGCAGTACATCTCAGAGTACTTTAAACTGCATCTCTGATGGCTTTAGTTACTTCACAGATTAAAACATGTTTTGTTATAAATTAAACAGTTGTTAAATTTGCAGATGAAACTTTTAGTCCTTTAATCAGACATGCAAACATTGTTCTGGTGTTTCAGCTTCAAAGATTCAATGCAGCATTGTGTTAATTACTCTTCAGTGTTTCTCCTGGAGCTGTAGCAGCAGAGGTGAAGCTAATTATTTTTTGTGCAATAGAAAAGTGCACCCCGCTTTATATCTGATTTAAAAACATGTATGAGGGCTCCTACCTCAAGAAAATGTTGTGTTCTCCAATAGAAATATGCCATTTCACATCATTCTGGACCATTATCATCATTTACATATCATTTCTGTGTACAAACAGCTGGAAAGCTAAACCTGCAGAGGAGGACCTATAATCATTAGAGATGCACCGAAGTGAAAATTCTCTAGTCGAAATCAAATTTTTCAAAACTTTCCCCAATAACGAACAAGGTTTTTCACATTTGACATTTCCCCACTGCATTAATTGAACAGTCAAAATGTGCTTTTTCCTCAGTGTTTCCCACAGGATGTGGAGAGAATATCGTGGGGGTGCCCGGAGCCCGAGAGGGGCCGGTAAAGTAAATTACATGAGTCCATTTACTTTTAATAGACACATGTAATATGTTTTATACTTGCTGTGAATATTATCCAATTAATCTTATTTCCATCCTGTACAGACGCCTTATTTTGAAAACCGGACGTTGTCACGTGTTTCCTCCTTGCGCTAAATCCATCCAGTCCGACCCGGTTTGATAAAGAAGAGTTAGAATTTAAAATCATTCTTCTTGCCTACAAACCTTAATGGTCAGACACCATCTTATCTTAAAGAGCTCATAGTACCTTACTACCCCACCAGAGCACTGCGCTCCCAGAATGCAGGGTTACTTGTGGTTCCTAGAGTCTCCAAAAGTAGACTAGGAGCCAGAGCGTTCAGCTATCAAGTTCCTCTCCTGTGGAACCAGGTTCCAGTTTGGGTTCAGGAGGCAGACACCATCTCCACATTTAAGAGTAGGGTTAAGACTTTCCTCTTTGATAAAGCTTATAGTTAGGGCTGGCTCAGGTGAGTCCTGAACCATCCCTTAGTTATGCTGCTATAGGCCTAGACTGCCGGGGGATTTCCCATGATGCACTGAGCTCCTCTCTCCTCTACTTTCTCTCCCTCTGTATGCAACCTCATCCCATTATTGCATGTTACTAACACAACTTCTCCCCTTTCCGGTAGTCTTGTGCTTTCTCGTCCCTCTCCTCTCTCCTCCTATCACTTCCTGCAGGTGTTTCTGGCTCTGGAGCTGTGGAGTCTGGATCTGTGGCTGCGGGTCACCTGCTGCCCCCGTGTTCCTGCTCGACACCCTCTGCTGCAACGACTATTGTTACTATTGTTATTATAATCATTAACATTATGATGGTTACCATTAACACTATTATAAATATCTGTACCATTTTTCATTTAGTCTATAGCAACATCACCTTTACTGTCTGTACCTCTGTGTGGATATTGTGTAGGCTGCCTCCCTCCCCTCTCTCTCTCTCTCCCCTCCCTCCCCCCCCCTCTCTCTCTCTCTCCCCCCTCCCTCTCTCTCTCTCTCTCCCCTCCCTCCCCTCTCTCTCTCTCTCTCCATCCATCAGGTGTTCAGAGTTGCACAGGTAACGTTAGGAACACGCTGTGACCTCCACTGTGTGTTTAATCGGAGGATATAAAGTACAACAGGGGCCTTTTACTGCGTTACACTCGACTCACCGTGGGCTCGATGATTGGCTGGCTGACGATGCCCTCGTACAGCTCCGGGTCCAGGACTCTGGTGGGCCCCAGCTCCAGCCTGGGTGCGGCCTTAACTTTCACCGACTTGGAAGAGTCGTCTCCACTGTCGCCGTCTGTGTTTTGGGCCTCGGCCTCTTCGGAGGTGGCGGCGATGGCGGCGGCAGCCGCGGCTGTGGCGGCGCTGAACGTCAGGAGGAGGGGCTCCTTCACCCGCCGGATCCTGATCGCTCGCTTACCCGCTTTCCGCTGAGGAGAACCAAAAAAGAGTTTGATGTTAGAGTCCGTTAAACAGAACAGGAAGTCTGGAGCTGCCGGAGAAGGTCAAAATAAGCCCCGCCCCTGAGCGGCAGGAGGAGGCCTCACCGTGAGCAGGGTGAACTCGACCTCCTCGTTGATGTCCTCGGCGTTGAACTCAATGTCGCTGAAGTTCTCCTTGACGTCGAAGGGAAGCTCGCCGTGCTCTTCCGACTTGATGACGCCCTCGCTGTCCTTAAGGCTGATGATGACGCCCTGCGGCGAAGGAATAAAAAAACATCAAGTCAGAGACAGTCGAGGAAGACGAGCGTGCTGACAGGAAGGCGAGCGGCTCTGACCGTCTCCCTGGTCTCCTTGGTGAGGCTGAAGGTGGCGGGGATCTGGGGCTTGATGTTGGTGGCCCTCCTCTTCTCCGTGACGATGTCGGTCAGCAGGTTGATCAGCACCTGGTCGTTCTTCAGCAGCGTCACCGTGCTGTCCTTCCTGTCGAACGGCAGGTTGGTCCTCAGGGGCCCGATGTCCACGTGGACCTGCCCGAGGTAGTGGCGCTCGCCGGGCTGCGGATCGACAAAAACAGGGGGGGTCAGAGGCCGGCGGAAACGGGAAGCTGTGACGGGTCAAGATGTCTGAACTGACCTGAGGCTCCACGAGGGGCTGGCTGACCACGGCCTCGTAGATCTCCGTGTCCACGTTCTCCGTTCCACCTGGAGCCACTTTCACGTCCGTCGCTATCAGACTGTTCTGCTTCCAGACAAAACGGCGTTACCAGAACACGAGCATTTAAAACCTGTTTCAGAGTGATCATTTTTATACAGCAGGTAAAAACGTGGACGTGTTTTCTTTCAGGCTGGAGGAAAGAAAACACAGTTAGTCTCGTCTGCAGAGCTGAAAGTTAACTTTTAACTTTATCAGTTTGACGTGTTCGATGTTGCTGCTGTTAAAGTCTGATCAGATATCGGCTGCGTAAATACTGATCAACATAAATTATGGAATTTTACAGTACGCATCTTTGAAGGCAGTTTCTTCCTCCGAGCCTGAAGTCTCCTCCTCAGCAGCTCTCGCAGACTGGAGGTTTTTCCAGAGGGCTGAATTACAGAACATCTGATTCGCAGAAACAGGCTGAACGCTGTTTTCTGCACGCAGCTCAAATTAACTCTTTTTCTGCTTGGTACAAGAAGAAAAAGAAAGAAAACCTGCAGAGTTCTCAGTTTCCAACTTTAGCCAAGCAGCAGACGACTTTAGAGGAGAAAACCACCGACAGAGGATCATTTTATCATTTGGTTTAAAATACGTTTAAAAAGTATTCAGATTATTTTCTATGTATTTTTCCGATAACTTTTTAAGTTTTTATCGCAGAGAAGAAGAAGTTTTTCCCAGTATCGTGCAGCCCTGCAGTATGTTCTGAGAGAGAAATCTAAAAACATCCACAAACTAAAACAATCACTTTGAACCCGACTTACTGCAGAGTTCAGATGTCAGGTCTAGAAACAGAACGGCCTCATTTGCATATTTAAACCTAAAACACAAAACAATATTGTCTTAAAGCGAGTAATCAACCGGGAAAGTTTCCTGGTGATCTCTGTTCCAGTTTTTACTCTGGTGGCCTTAAAGGATCCTCGTCTGTCTCAGAATCACACTGAACCGTAGGAAACATAATGACCAACGGGACCGGGTCCAGGACCGGGACCAGGACCGGGACCAGGACCGGGACAAGGCCTCACCTTCTCCTTGCAGGCGGTGAAGTGGACTCTGACCCCGGGCGTCATGGCTTTGGGGTTTCCGAAGAAGGCGTCGAAGCTGAAGGTGTACTTCTCCAGGTCCTCCCTCTCGATGTAGCCGAAGGTCGGCTGAGGATCAGAGACAGGAGAGCGTGAGACCAGCTGCTGAGCTCCGGAGGAGAGACGGGCGGCGCCGGACGATAACGCAGCTCAGAGCTCACGGCTTTTCTTAAATGAGCCTTTTACTTTCTTTTAGGGAATTAAAACATTGATTTCTCTTCACTCGAGCTTCTGTTTCTGTTACTGCAGCTGCAGAGCGTCGTATTTCTGCCTGCTGGGAGAAAGACAGGAAGCTGAACGACCTGCGACTTCAGACAGAGAGTCTGTTACTGGAGTCACAAGCACCACTTCATTTTCCTCAGTAGCATTAAAGCAAATGTTTGATTCAACTGAGCCACCAGCGAAATCAGCACTTAATGTTTCTATGAAGATGTTTATTTGTTGGAAACAGATCCTGAAGGTTCGGCCTCAGATCCGTTTACTGATCCTCCGTTTGGCAGAAACTTTAAAACACATTAACTTTCACTCAGGAGCAAAAATCTGAATTTAGTTTAAAGAAAGAACGAGCTGACGTTTATCCTGATAATCATTTATCGTGATAAGGTTTTTGGCCCCGTAAAAGAAGTCAGCTGACTCATTTCTGTAAACGGGGCCGAGCGTCCGAACAGCAGCGGAAACGAGCCAGAATCAGCCCGACGCCGTTCTCCACCTGCAGGTCGTCTCACAGCAGCACTTTAAATGAGACGGCACCAGACTCCATTCAGAAAACACGCCTTTTAAAAGCAGCTGCTCCTTTTGAGCCGTTTACTGAAACAGCTGCGTTTGTTTTGGGTTGCCGTAGTAATGGCGCGTTGCTTTAAGTCGTGTCACGATGGGAATTTAAAACTCGCGCTGTGTGTGAAACCGGCCAGGGGCAAGTCCGGGATCAGAGAGGACGCCGGGTCTTGAGGCGGTTAACGATGACGCCGGCTGCGTCGTGGTCGCTACTCGTTTCTGCTGAAACATCAGATTTAAGGAAGAAATTAAAAACTAATCAGACACATTTCAAGGACTTTCAAGGCCCGATATTTACGAAGGCGCTGCAGAGACTTCCTGCGCTGCCACGACGCAAAGGCGCCTTTATCACAGTAAGAGTCACATGACTCACCCCGATGAACGAGATGATCCCCGTGGACCGGCCCGGAGGAGGTCTGAGGACACACAGAGGCAGCAGGTCACACAGACACCACAGAAGAAGACGACACACTCGGACCCCATGAAACGCTGACTTACTTATCAAAGGTGCGTTTTCCCAGCAGGCCGAGGGCTTTGGCGGTCTTGGTGAGGTCCGGTTTGGGTTTGGGTTTAGGTTTGGGTTTCGGGGCCGCGGGGGTGTCCGCTGCAGGAGCAGGAGGGACGGCGGGCTCCTCTGTGGGTTTCTTGGGCTCCCCAGGGGCCTCAGAGGCCGGAGCTGAAATCAGTGCTTTAATCTGAAAGAAACAGGAAACTGCTGATCCTACTGAGACCTGAAGACCTGATCCTCAAGAGACCTGACCCTGCAGAGACCTGAAGATCTGACCCTGCAGAGACCTGATCCTCAAGAGACCTGAACCTGCAGAGACCTGAAGACCTGATCCTCAAGAGACCTGATCCTGCAGAGACCTGAAGTTCTGACCCTGCAGAGACCTGATCCTCAAGAGACCTGAACCTGCAGAGACCTGATCCTCAAGAGACCTGAACCTGCAGAGACCTGAAGACCTGATCCTGCAGAGACCTGATCCTGCAGAGACCTGAAGACCTGACCCTGCAGAGACCTGAAGACCTGATCCTGCAGAGACCTGAAAACCTGATCTTGCAGAGACTTGATCCTGCAGAGACCCTGAAGACCTGACCCTGCAGAGACCTGAAGACCTGACCCTGCAGAGACCTGATCCTGCAGAGACCTGAAGATCTGATCCTCAAGAGACCTGATCCTACTGAGACCTGAAGACCTGACCCTGCAGAGACCTGATCCTAATAACGTTTTAGCATCAACATGTACTTGCAGTACCGAAGGTAAAAGTACTCACTGTACTTATTATATATTTAGTACCGAGTCATCAAAGTACATATAAATACTACAGTAGTACTAAACTGTACTTGCTGCTGGACTAACAGGTCTGATCTGGGACCTGGTCTGTACTCACCCACTCAGGCTGGTCTGGGGGAGGGTTCGGCATCGGCTCCTCAACTATAGTCTGAACACAGAGAGGAAACATAATGACCAACGGGACCGGGTCCAGGACCGGGACAAGGGCCGGGTCCAGGACCGGGCCCAGGACCGGGACAAGGGCCGGGCCCAGGACCGGGACAAGGGCCGGGCCCAGGACCGGGACAAGGGCCGGGCCCAGGACCGGGACAAGGGCCGGGCCCAGGACCGGGACAAGGGCCGGGCCCAGGACCGGGACAAGGGCCGGGCCCAGGACCGGGACAAGGGCCGGGCCCAGGACCGGGACAAGGGCCGGGTCGACCCTGCACTGAATGATCAATACTGGATCTTCTGGTCTAACAGGATCAACACACAACAGGTGAGCTCACCTCTGCGGTCCAGCCGGGAGGCGGGTAGGCCGGCGGGTACCCCATGGGGGGCCCGCAGACTGCAGGGGGGATGGGAGGTACAGGGACCGGTCCGTAGACTGCGGGGTCCGGAGGAGGAATCCCAACAGGAGGAGGCGGACCAGGAGGTGGAACAGGAGGTATGGGTCCAGGTGGACCGTGTTCGGGGCCCCACGGTTCAGGGAGACCTTCCGGACCCCAGCCAAGTGGTCCCCAGGCTTCGCGGGGAGGTCTCCAGTCATCGGGGTGAGGGGGCCTCCAGTCGTCCGGGTGAGGACCCCTCCAGTCATCAGGGTGAGGGCCCCTCCAGTCGTTGGGGTGTGGGGGTCTCCAGTCTTCTGGGTGAGGGCCCCAGTCTGGAGGAGGCATCCAGTCTTCAGGATGAGGCCCCCAGCCCGGTGGCGGCGGTCCTCTTGGACCCCAGTCTGGGGGAGGAGGCCCTCTCGGCCCCCATCCTCCAGGCGGCGGGGGCCCCCATCCACCGGGCGGTGGGGGCCCCCATCCACCGGGCGGCGGAGGGCCCCACCCTCCGGGCGGCGGAGGGCCCCATTCTTCAGGCGGCGGTGGCCCCCATCCACCAGGCGGCGGAGGGCCCCAGCCTCCCGGCGGAGGAGGACCCCAGCCCGGTGGACCCATGTCGAACGGAGGCCCGTCTTCCCCCGGGGGCCCCATGGGGGGCCGGTTCCGTCCCGCTCCTCGTCCCATTTAGAGCTACACGAGCTAAGCTAACGCTAGCTCACGAGCTAAGCTAACGCTAGCCACCGAGCTAACTGTGTAAACAAAGCAAACAGTCGGATTCGGCCGGAGAATCATCGGTTATCTCCGCAGCTTCAGCAGCTTCAGCCTCACGGACCCTCAAACGGCCGCGGGACCGAAGAGAAACCGGATTATTTCTCTGAACCGATCAACAAGGAGCTGAACTCCGCGGAGCGGCGGCTGCTTCCGCTTTAATGGCGGCCGCAGATCAAACCCGGACTCTTCACCGCCGCCAGCCGGCAGGAGGACGGAACTGCAGGAGCGACGTCTTCATTCTTCATCCGTCTTTCTTACTTGTTGCCCTGCAGCTGCTGCACTTAGTGGGATTATTAATAAGGGATTTTGAATGTGTACTTGATGCCACTACAGGTTATTAATTATATATTTAGCGGTGGCAGCTGGTATCTTCCATCCCCCCAACATGCTGCTGTGTTGTTGCTAATCCTTTTAATTATTAGTTTATTATTTTCTAAACACGTCGTGAAAACTGCTTTAACATTTGTTTACAACAAAGTACTGACTTGACTTTTTACTTAATATTAAGATGCCTCCGGCTGAGCCACACTGAAGGTGGCTGTTTGAAAACTCTTCTCGTTGATAAGCTGCTTAAAGGCTTCAGAGTTCTTCAGACCTTCATGTTGAACTTAAATCTACTTCTCTGGATGTGAAACAAAGTGTTGTGGAATCAGAGTCGCCTGCAGCGTAGCAGAAAAAGCTTTTTATTTAGTTTGCCGGCTGAAGTCGCTCGACTCCAGCTGAAGGAACCGGAGAACATTATAGAACATCAACATTATCAATATAGGATCTGTCAGAGTTAGAGCACAGCAGGGAGCCGGAGCGTCAGACGCTCCTCCACTCCTGCAGAGAAAAACCTCCTCCCGCGACCTTTCGGAGGCCGAGCAGGTGACGAGTCTTCGCTCGGCAGACAGAGCGACGGTGAGCTGATAAACCGTCGATCAGTTATTGCAGTGATACTTCAGAGGCTGATGTCAGAATGTGCAGCTCGTGGCGGGCAGACGGTGCATTTCATGACTAAACTACAAAGGTCTCCACCTGACCCCTGACCCCATCGTTACAATCAGAGGATCTGCCAAAGAGCATTTTCCTCCCATTAAAGATAATTATTTGCTGGCTATTGATGAACTCGTTCTGGCTCCTCCCTCAGCAGATGATGGAGAAGATGGCGCTCTGCCCTCCGTCCCCGCCCTCTCACGAGGAAGCAGACGCCGACGTTCTCCCGGCCTCGTTTATGAAGATCGAGTACGTTGGTACAGGAACCAGGTCCAGATACGTCGGGGTTCACAAAGCGGCCTCCGAGCTGGATCCAAGTACCTGTGCCAGGCCTCCTCCACCAACCTGCGCTCCCTCCAGCAGCCAGCAGGGGGCGACTCCACCGGCAGCAGAAACAAACTGTTTCTACTTGTCAGCTGATTTATTCCCTCAGTAAACACTTTCCTGATGAGTTTCTGGTCTCAGTCGCTAGTTTCAAGTCTTCTTCAACACAGCGTGATGTTCATTTAGTAAATTATGGTCCCATTTAGAGGAACAGAGACCAGGAAGCAGAGGAGGTTTTAGGGCGGGGCTACAAGCTGACATGCCGGATAGAGGCGACTCGTATCCGCTGCACAGTGTTTATTTAAGTTGTGTTGTTGTGTTTCACTTTTACATTTTGTCTGTCACTAGCCACAGTTAGCATCCCGGCTAATATCACAGTTAACGTGAATTACGGATGCACCTGGCTAGCTCCTCCCTCTCGTCCAAATATGGTCACGTCTGGCTCCAGAAAAAAACAAACAAAAAAAACAGTGACGACCAAGATGCCAAACTGGAGGCTTCAAAGCTGCTTCGTCCGCTTCTTTCAGACGGGCCGTTTCAGACAGGATGAGCTGAGCGGCTGCTCGAAGGCCAGCGGAAGCTGAAGATGGACTTTTATACCTGAAGGTGGCGCCCCAGAGTGAAAACAGAGAGCACGTTTAATCCACTTCTTTAAAGGGCATTACAGCTGTTCTGGGTCATCTGTGAGTAGTAAGAGCGTTAAAATAGGACTTAACTGATGTAAACCACCGCTAACACATGACCACCGGGTCCCAGAGGCCGAACCTGGACCGACTGGCGGTTTGTAGAAACTCTGGGTTCAGGCTTTAGTCATAAAATGCACCTTCGGCTCAGCCCGCCAGAACCTCTCTTCAGAAACATCCACCTCTACAAACATGTAAACACACTTCTTTATATCTGTGAGTGAATCTAAATCAGTTACAGAGGAAGCGTTTTTAATCAGTTACACTTTACTCTCAAATGAAGGCAACCTCCATCGTCAAAAAGAACGAAGGCAGAACGTGTGATGAAAGGATGAACAGAGATACTTTAAGGGTTAACTCAGATTACATCGGGTACAAAAAGATGACATGTGAACTAACAGTCTCCGGATAACTAATCCCTTTTTCTCTTGGTTTTCTTTTTTTAATCCAAAAAGCAGCAGCAGGAAACAAACTAACATTTTGTTCTGTGAAAGATCACGAACTAACAGACTTCCTCCTCAGGAGAGGATCCTTCATCGCTGTCGGACAGAAGCGACACCAACACCACCGAGGTCCACAACCAGGACAGAGCCCGGCGGGTCAGTACGGAAGAGACTTCGGGACGAAAAACAGTTCTGAGATTAAAGTCTGAATCATAAAATCAGAGTCGGAGAATTTAAGCCTGAACTGAAATAAGGGTTCTTAGATGAAAGGCGACGTTCTGAAACTAAAAAGGTTTCAAACTGGATTTCAGACTTTACTGAAATCAGATTTTAAACGGGTTTCAAGAAACACCTGAACTCGTTTTAAACTGGTTTCAGACTAGTTTCAAACTGGTTTAATTTAGGAAGTTTTTAAAGCAGAAGTGAACTCGTTTCAAACTGGTTTCAGCCTGCGCTTGAACTGATTTTATACCAGTTTCAAACTGGTCTAATTTTATACAGGTTTGAAACCAGATTTGAACTTCTTTTTTAAACTGGTTTCAGACCAGATTCCAGCTGTAACAGAAAACTTGTTACTGATTAATTCTCCTAATTTAAAGGCTAAACTAAGATTGTCGTCTCTGGAGCCTCATTTTGCTCTAAGAACTGAAATATTAAACACAGAACTCATTTTTTTTTTTTTGTCCCTCATCTCTTTCCGTACTTTATGAAAACACAGAAGGTAAAATACAGGAAGTGGAAAAGCGAGTGCAGCTGTGCATGGGGGGAGGGGTTCAGGTGAAGGAGGACGTCCCTCTGATCGTCTCCCGTCCGTCCTGACGTTCTCTGTTGGCGTCGGATGGTCGTGAGGAGGGGGCGGGGCCCGACTCGTCCTCTTTCTCTGGGAGCTTTTTGTTTTTCCATCGGGTTCAGTCGAAGGGGCTGAAGTCCCTCTCCAGGTTCTCGGACTCGTCGTCGTCGGAGAAGAAGTCGTCCTCGTCGATGTCGTCCTCGTCGTAGTCCTCGTGCCACTCAGGGACGTACTCTTCATCATACTCGTCGTCCTCCTCCTCCGCCTCCTCGCCGCCCTCCTCCCCCGTGTTGTTGTTGTTGTCCGACTCACCGGAGTCCGACGCTCGCTCCGACTTCGACCTGAGAACAAAGCAGAACGTTCAGTTTTCGCCCCTCCGCCACAGACAAACATCGGAAATGAATAAATAAACAACTGGCTGAACAAAAAAGATCTGAAGTGATTCACCAAAAAGAAACATTCATCTTCTGCCCTTCTGTCTTTTTAAACTCTAACCAGAGTCCAGACGGACTTTATTTTAAACTGTAGCCGAGATCCCAAAGTCTCCGAGGACCGCAAACCTGTCGGGCCGGGACCAGGAGCCCACGTCCCTGAAGGTAGCTCGGTTCTTTGGTGTCGTACTCACACTTTGTTGGCGTCGGTGTGGTTGGACAGGTTGGAGGCCTCAGTAGATTCTGGTTCCTGGCCGTTCTTGGACTGATACCCGACCCTGAAGTCCTGTATTGGACAGAAATACAGGAAACTGTCACGGACGGGACGCCCTGAGTCAAAGTGAGACGCTGGCAGGAAACGTAGCGAGACTGAAGTTTCAGGCGGCTCAAACTGATCTGACTGGTTTAAACATCAGACTGAAAGAGAACTGGACTCAGACCGCTGGATTCTGGACCACGACGTCGATTATTAAATTAGTTGCCAACGAATTTAATAATGACGTCATCGGGCCGTAAGGAGCGAAAGTGATGTGAACAGTAAAGTTAGTAAAAGAACATCAGCGCTGCAGTAACACCTTCACCGCCAGAGAGTGGCAGCGTTTCACTCTTCACTCAGCCAACAAGGTCGTGAGCTGAGCTCTCCTGGAAACACCGGCGCAACGTCGTGTCTCTGTGGACGATCGAGACTCGTCTCGGTAAGCTAGGTAGCGAGCTAGCTTCACGGTATGAGCTGTAACGTTTTCTACACGGTTTCCCTCCGTCCGTTCGATTGGTTGATAATGGCGCTGAGAGTAGCGCATAATTATGATGCAGAACGGCGGCGGCCTGACTCATCATAAATCGCTCAAGGCGACGTTCCCAGCTGGAGAACGTGTTGCTGCCGAGTGCGCGAGATCAGACAACACGGGACAGTTTCATACTTTCTAAAGAAGAGGAAACAGTTCACCTGTCTGTGCGTGACTTAGGGGAAACTATATAAACGTGAAATGCTGTTCGCTACAAAATGGTTATTATTGACCCCCTGTAAATTCAGCAGATGTAACGCATGACGTGAACCGTTTTGCTGTCCTGTAAACAAACTTCACCAGAAACCCGTGCGGTCGCTACAGGTCCGTCTTCAGACTGGGCTTACCTGGGTCGAGTGCTGCAGGATGGCCAGCAGGCGCTCCTGGATGCGTCGGATCAGTTCCAGCCCGGTGTTGAGATGTTCCGGTTTCAGCAGCCGGACGCAGGAGGCCAGGTCAGTGCACTGCAGCAGGGTCTCCTCTGAGAACAACAAGACAACAGCAGCAGTCAGCAGGGGCAGCTCACAGCGCTGGAACTCTGCCGACGGCAACGAGGACGCCGCTCTCACCCAGCAGGATCTGCAGGGCGTTGGTGTGCAGGTCCAGGGCCTCCGTCTGCTGCTCCATCACGTCCATCTTCTCCGTCTCCTGATTGTAGTAGCTGTAGACGCAGGAGTAGGCCAGCACCTGCAGACAGAGAGCAGGGCACAGTAAATAAAATGCGACTCGTCAGCAGGAGCCTCT